TCAAAGAAGTTTAACATTGCGGTAGACTATGAGTGATCTCCACCGATTGAGTTGCTTAAATATCGGATGATCTCCTTACTGACACCCGCAAGGGTTGTCAATATCAATTTTCATCTATTTGATTTTAAGCTTTTCTACTTACTCTCTGCCTTGTAGTACAAGACCTTGTAGATACTATCTACAAGGTTATTACTGGTATTTGCTTAAGATTTGGTCAAGAACTAAAACTTCGTGCGTTTTTTATAACAACAAAGGAGTGTTAAAGTGCATGTGCGTATTGCTGACGTAAAATGGTTACCTAGTAGACAAAAAGGTGGAGTGAAGTGCTGTGCTGAATAAAAGAAGAAAATAACGAGAAAATAAATTAAAAGAATGATAAGCATAGTTAAATAGCATAACTTAAAGCACGTGAAAAGAAAAGTAGAAGTAAATTCATGCATTTGGCGACATTGTGACCTAAATGCACTTCTACTCACTCAATTCTAAGACTAAATAGAAATGTCATAGAATCTGAGGAATAGATGTTACTTATTGCTTACTAAAATTACAATTCACACGCTATATTTCGGATTAATTGAAGTAACTGATTTTGAGTCAAAGCTTTAGTTAGTGGATCATTAACTTCTATTATTTTTCTGCCAAAACCAAGAACTTATTTAACCACTGGTATTGTGCTGGTATTGGCCGGCCATTTACTACTGCATATATCAATCTTTTATGTAGTCTATAGCCATCTGTGCGAGGAACGGAAGTGGGCCAGCAATATTTTGGTTACTTATAAAGCATATCCAACAGTCCGTCATTGCAGATCGCCATGAAGTTGGTGCCAGCAGATAAAGTATGTGAAATTTAATCTCTGACATTTTTTATTCAGGGCTCGCAGATCTAGGACTTTTTTGTGATTATTAATCAGATTTTCAGAAGGTGGTCTTAATGGGGAACAGAAAATTTGCTCTTTAATGCAGAAATACACACTTTGTTTACTATTTATACTTTACAGAAGTATTTACACAACTAATACACATGGTGGGATGCATAGTCATCATCTTTTGCATTACGACCAAGATAACTACATCGGCGGCATGTTTGGTTATGTTCTTCGTCGAGTACTTCAAAGTACTGGGTTCAGACGTCGGTACCGACAGGTCTCGTTATAACTTTGGGCAAGTTACTTCAGTCTTAGTGTGTTGGATAATTCGTCCAGCAGCATACTTACATCCGTGTGACGTATAATACAGCTTCCCCGGATGGTCCTCATAGCTTCCAGGAAAATTAGTATGTAGTTAACGAGCGTGTACAGGACGCACAAATGCTTGAACGAAAGAACTCTGTATCAGGTTAGCCATCTGTCCAAGGCTTCAATTAATGACTAGTGACAAGACAGATGGTCATCTTATAAGCTTGTCAGCTGTAGGAAAACTTTCAGGGGCTATCGAAACTGAGTTTTGGCAGCCACCTTTATTGATAACGCTGGCCGTGCTGAGAGATATCCTTCCACTTTCCAACTACATAGTGGGAACTCAATGATTATAATATTGCTTGATGTACATTATTTTCAATGCAAAACTATTATTTCACCGCCCTCTCACAGTTGTAGCCAGTAAAACTCTGATAAAAACGAGGTGTCCTGCAGCGTTGTACGTAGTGTTTTCATGAGACGAATTCACATGGGAACCTATATTTCCCAAATATTCCACAAAATATCTCTTTTTCTGAAAATAAAAATCCCACTTTGAACTTCATAACGGAGTACAAACAGATTTGAAGATAGTCTGAGCCTATCGGATAATGGCTGTTAAAAGTGTATACTCTTCATTGTAAACTTAACTATTTGTTAACCGGGTAGACAAGACAGGTGAGTACATTGCGCCTTCTCGTCTTTTCTGGGGAGCAGCAACAGTTTAACATTATAAGTAACTGGTCCGGGAGCGAAAATAATCATAAATGTGCATTTTTCCGATTCATTTATCCGGAGTCAAAATGGAAGACATTTATCGACCTATCCAGGCTTTCGAAGATCAGTGATTATGATATTTGGATATATGATTAAAAAATTGGGTTTCTGAGAGCCCTGTAGTTACACTCTGAGTTTCAGACTATTTGGTAGTTGGATCATGTAGAACGATGCCTCAGCTGTTTCTTGCTGAACAATTAAGGGTAGTTTTCAAATCAAACCACGAGCGTATTTTACTTTCTCGAGTAAGATTTTGTAAGGATACTTCTATATGAGTTATACCGTCATCAGGCTTTCAAAAAACGTGAGTAAAGTCTCATGCTGTACAGGAATGAATGCTCCATCCAAAGACTTTTCAAAGACCTCAGAATTTCGGAGACTGCTTGGGCAGACTGTGCTGAACGTCCTGAAAAACTGAAAGTCACATTTTGAATAGATCAGACGACGAGGAATCCGATGCAAATACTAGATTTAAGTTTGTAGTTCGTTTTGATGGTAAAAAACGCATATCAATATGATCGATTATCATATGTTTGACTATGTTGGAACAAGTTCAATGGAGTACCAAAACACCTGGAAGTTTTTCTAAACGTGGCATTTTACTGCTCGACGTCTCTCTAGTATACATCACAAAGTTTCAGGTCTATTGATTCAGTCATTTTTGAGAAAATTGAGTGCGAAAAGCCCCTTGAAATTTTAAAATCCTAAACTGTCGGACTGTTCAGGACCCGTTGGCGATGTTTAGGAAGAAATGCCTTCTCTTTTCACGGAAGATCAAGAAAAAAAGCTGTGGTATTATATGTTCTTCTCATAACCCATTTAATTTGTCATTCCTGTATAGCATGAGTCTTCACAGGTGTAAATTCTGGACATCTCAATACATTTCAGGCAACGGCATGTACACATACCGTCCGATGTGCAAAGACATGTCATCTGTCTTTTTTACACAATTGACATCGGCTTTTTATTTGAGGTTTCTTCAAAAGTATAGTATACTTCTCTTAATTAATGTCGGTAAAATGCTGTTTTTAATTTGCATTAGTAGACATTTTCGTCAGAGATGTTCTATCCCGCTACATTTCATCCTAAAATATGTCTAAATTTAATCGATGGAAATACGAGAAAACTGTTGCAGTGGCGTACTTAATCAAAATAGCAGGAGCGGGGAGACGGGTAATATTTATCCAAAATCAAATTTCGATATAACACAAAAGTAGAGTTTAGCTTCAGAATATGTATAAAATACAAAATAAAAGTAAATGGAGCAAGTACTTGACTGAACGTTTCCAAGTAAGCTCATTTCCACTGTGTCAGCCAAGTATTTACATTTTACTTGGTAAGTACTCTCTCAAGTATTTAACAAGTAAATTTACTTCGAAACGTCTACAAGCACTGTCCTCATTACTGAATCCAAGTACATGCGCAACTAGTTGACTCAAGTACATCCACTAGTGCATGATATATTCTTTGGAAGTGAAACGTTGTTTTCGTGAAAAACATTGCAATTGAAGTTAAAGATGATGAAGGTATACATTAGTAAGCATCGTTGTTACAGATAATGTGTAAGACATATTTGGATTTTAGTTATGAACCTCTATCGTTAGGGAAAGAAAATAATTTGTGCTATTTTAAATTGACTCTAAAATTCATTATGCTACTATTCTTGAAGGACTATGTGTCAAGCCTCTATGTAATTAGTTTTACGATAAAAAACGATAATGTTAGTAGCTGATATACAAACGACTGCTTCTGTCATCCTAAGTTTTATTTGTCTTGTTACAGTAATAATTACTGAAATACGCATTTTCTTTTTCTATAGAATTTTTATGAATTTTTAGTAACCTATGAAATTCACGTCACCTACATTAGTGACTGTGTGATAAATATTATTCATACATTGTTTGACGCATTCTTGGCTACTATGTGGGAGTATCGTCAGGTACCTAACATACATAGGTTAAAAATTACATATTGAGACGTTGTATGAAATTACAATGAGTCAGTATGTTATAAAAGGTTATCAAGACTCATTATATATATATTAGTAATAAATCTTTTCAAGAGATTAGTAAATAGTAGAATTATTTTGCTGACGTCGTACGAGAGCGAATGAATAATAAGTGGGGGTGATCAATTTGACTGATACCCCCCAACATTCATTTATTTGTGCCACTTCATCTACGCATTAGCAAAATCTGATTTTTTTACCAGTTATACTGTATATATAATGCTACTGATCTATCACTATTGAAATCTATATATCACTAGAAATGAGAATTATTAAGTATATCTTTGTATTTATTGTGTTAAATGTGCTTCACATGGTATATGTTAACGTATACCATTCCTGCTAACAGGATTGAAACAAAACCAAAGATTAGTAGGATAGTTTCATTCTCAAACAGTTAATGAGAAGATACAACTTATGATTTTGTTTATCTATGAATAGAATATTTATTTAAGTTTTGTAAAAAATTTGTGGAGAAAACATAATTCAAGTGTACTATGTATTTGTTATCGATAGAAAGTGTGTTAATGAAAAGGAAGAACAAATGAAAGTGGAAAAACTTACAGATAGAACAAGAATGACTTGACTTAAATATAACGCAAGAATAGAATGGATAAAATATATACCGAGCACAAGATGTAAACAAATACGATGTGAAGCACATTTAACACAATAAATACAAAGATGTACTTAATAATTCTCATTTCTAGTGATATATAGATTTCAAATAGTGATAGATCAGTAGCATTATATATGCAGCATAACTGGTAAAATAATCAGATTTTGCTAATGCGTAGATGAAGTGACACAAATAAATGAATGTTGGGGTACCAGTCAAATTGATCACCCCCATATTTATCCGGATAGAAAATGTAATTAGTCTTGGAAAAGACTTTTAATTTAATTCTGAGTAAACTGTTTGAAAGAAGGGGCTTTAATCTTAAAAAACATTTAAAGCAAATTAATTCAGACAAAAACACAGAAAGAACATTTTTAAAAGATTCTGCCAATTGTTAACGATCTGTTTTTAGTATATAAATGGGGCGTTTGGAAGAATTACCGAACGAATTACTGCTAGTCATATTTTCTTATTTGTCATCGATTGAAATTATTTATTCCTTCGTAAATTTAAATAATCGTTATTCTCAAATACTATCGTTGTATTCAATTGATCTCGATTTGTCATCGATAAATATTGAAAACTTAAACTATTATTGTCAAAAAATCATCCCCGCTGTTGGTGCATACGTTCATTCATTAACTTTAAATAATAAATTGAGTGAAAAATATCTCGAAATAATTTTAAAAGCAAATCAAATCGATTATGTATTTCCGAATTTGGAAAAATTCACACTACCACATTCAAAACAAATTCAAGAAAATTTATTGTTCAATGATAATAATACTTTAAAAAATTTAAAATTTCTTCAGATTGTTTCACAGAAGGATATGGAATGTGAAAAAATATTTGAAAAATGTTGCGCACAAACAGTTTTATTTGAAGGTAAAAGAAGTTTTTATTGTTTATCTAATTTATAATTTAATTCACTTTGCACAGGTAATGGTGTTCAATTAGTTAATAAATATTTGCCGATTAACAATTGCATATGTAATTTAAAAATAACATTAAATTTAGCCAAAAATTTTTTTATATTAATTGATCATCTACCAAATATTCAATATTTAAATGTAACATTTACAAGTAAAAACTTTTTTTGATTAGTAAAATAATGTTTGAATAAATCTATAATTTTAGATAATAATGTTGATTTATCATTCGTGAAAGATGTTCCATCAAAACCTTCACGTTTTTTAATCCAAATTGAAATGAACAATGTTTCATGTTCATTTATTGAAACAATAATAGCTCATGCACTACCCGTTCATCTCAAATCATTATCATTTAAAACAAATACAGTCGATGTTTCAACATCATCACTGATGAAAAATTCTAATTTTGAACGTTTATTATCAATCTACTTACCACAGTTAGAAAAATTAAATTTTTATATATCAACAATAACAAAATTATCGATCATTGATCAGTTTAAAACTGATTATTTTTTACAACGTAAATGGTTTGTTCAACATTCAAATGATAAGTGTAATATGCGTTATCCTATTTACCCGATTATTTTACATACAGGTAAGAATATTTGTGCAAGAGTAAAATCAAATTTCTATGTGTGACTTATATTTCAGATGATTGTTATCAAAGTGTATTTTGCACTGGTGATATTATATCATTGGTATGTCTTGGTCATATTAAAACAGGTTTCATTTGGTTAAGTGGTTTATTACCACCAGCGACAACGACAATTCAGTTAGTAGCTGAACCAACATTGTTTAGTACAAAATGGCGTGTAGTGGTTCACGATCATAAAAAAGATGTTATTAGTTTACAATGTTTATTGGATAAATATTATTGGCTAGATGGCACAACGAATAATACGGGACAAGTTCAATTGACAAGAGCCAATAAACCACTTCAAAACAATTTTAAATGGACTGTTACAAAGTTGGATAATAGTATTGGTTTCCGTTGTTTGTTGGACGGCAGTTGGTTAGATGGACGCACAGAGACGAAAGATGTGATTACACAACTAACAAGTCAATATTCCGGAACAAGATGGAACGTTATCATTCAATAGAAAGATATGTATACAGTTAATAAACATTTAATAATATCATTTATCACCATTTATATTATTTATTCATGTTCGACGAGGTAAATTAGACAGTAAAATAATCGAATGAATATCAGTTAGAAGATAATTGAGCGTGAAAGATGATACGCATTAAGTTTCTTTTTTCTGACTGTTTAACTCAGCTCAAAATTCAAGAAACCGTAGTTTTAAGAATCAAAGAAAGCTGTTAACAGTCAGAAAAACTACTTCAAGAAATATTCTTGTACGCTATTATCTTTTCAAAATTGCATGGTTAGTGATAATGATACAACTAGAACATGCTCTACGTCATTCTTATTTTTCTTGTTTCTACTTTCTTCTACTTGTCAAGTAACAAGTATTGTAATAAAAGTTTTTCTTGATCTTTCGCTGACGAGAGAACCTCCCGAGTTCTTCACTTCCGATTCAAATGCTTTGTACATGAATCAAAAAACCTCAATGAGGTAGTAAATATCCTAAAAGGATTCGGGCCCATGACTCTTGAAGATCCGATTTTCTGAAAAAACAGTTTTTCAGAAACTCTAAAAAAGTAACCAAAACCTTTTCTTAATAAGGCATGATTGTGGGCTGCGAATGTCTGATTAAAACGAGACGTCTCGCAGCTCTACAGGACGTTTCCTTGTACAGTTATAGAATTTACAAGAAAAGCCCCAAATATTCATTATCAGCTCAAAGCTACAGAAATAAGAAGAAATTAATTTAGGGCTTTTCTTGTAAATTCTATAACTGTACAAGGAAACGTCCTGTAGAGCTGCGAGACGTCTCGTTTTAATCAGACATTCGCAGCCCACAATCATGCCTTATTAAGAAAAGGTTTTGGTTACTTTTTTAGAGTTTCTGAAAAACTGTTTTTTCAGAAAATCGGATCTTCAAGAGTCATGGGCCCGAATCCTTTTAGGATATTTACTACCTCATTGAGGTTTTTTGATTCATGTACAAAGCATTTGAATCGGAAGTGGGCATCTCGGGAGATTCTCTCGTGAATTCAACAGATCAATAAAGGAAATCATTTTTCTTAGTGGCATTAAGATGGTATGAAAGCTTGGAGAAACTTTAGGAGTGCCCAATGTCAATCCGCAAATGCCGAATGCGCTTGTGAAGATGCTTTGATCGATCTGATTTATGTTACATGATCCGAAACAATAAATTAAAACTACAAAAAGACCTTTTGGCTATACATCACAAAAGGGTTGGGATTTGATAAGAGATGCTGTACTAGGCGGTTGCTGGATTTTTCGGGAATGCCAAAATTATTTATTTCTATAACTCACGACGTCCTACTTGAACTACTTTGTCATTCTTAATGTTCCCGTTCCATGTCTCTGTCCTTTTTAGTACTCTCCGACATATGCATCGCCCCGTAGCACGTACGCCATGGATCCAAAACTGTGTGTCATTGTGTAAATTGTTGTTGTCACTGCAACACAAAATCCATTTCTTTTGTCATCGAACCATTCACCATCGTACCATTTACCATTACTGTCTTCTATCTAGAACGAGTTGGAAACATCAGGATATGCTTAGTTTTGTCCACTAAATATAATTATAACATCGAAAAAATTGAGAAACCATGTTTTGGTTTAAGGATTTTCTAGAAACTTTTGCGGAAAACCATAGGGTTTTGTACATTCTTTTTTGTAGATTTCTTAAAAATAAAATATAAAATAGTCTAAGTACTGTACATCCGGATGTACGGTACTTAGACTTAGAATCGTGTATACCGAAGAACGAATTGCAAGCATCAGGATGCATCCTGATGCTTGCAATTCGTTCTTCGGTCTACGCGATTCGATGCAGCTTTGTATGCTCTTTCGGATGAGTTACTCGAAAAAAACTGACAAAAACTAACGAAGTTATAGATACTGAGATAGGCATTTTCCGGCTAACTCGTCGACACCCCACCCCGTCCCTTAAAAAATTCATAAGTGAATGAAAATAAGCTGTGGAAGCCTAAAACTTTGGATTTATAGGTTTCGGATAGTGCTGAACACGATGAGCATGGTTCCAGGAAAATAATGTTTTTTCATAGTACGACTTTTGTCCATAAGATCATGGACAGCCTCTTAAAGGTCGTCGAGATGGTTTTTTAAAACACTTTTATGAAAGTAACTCAAATCGACAGAGCATTTAGTTCCAAATAAAACGAGGCGCATTTTTTATGTTCTAGACACCCTTTAATGCAAAGTTATTCAGTTTGAAAACCAAGGTGATGATTAGCACCGCTACTGGGAGCTAACAACCCGTTAAAATCTTAACTGATACATAAAGTTAATTTTTTCATTTTACAATGTATTTTTGTCAACTGAATTTTTGAATATGCATTAAAGGGATGGAAAAAAATAAAGATATCTACACTATGTAAGACTTTTAATGTACATCATAACAGACCCAGCAAGATGGAGAATTCGGTTTTTGTCGGCATTGATCAACACCTGCAGAAGCACAAAGTTGTGCCACTGAATTGTTCTTTATTTTTTCATTCCTTACTGTTCCAGCTATCAGCGCTCGGTATCTAGTCAAGTTTCGAGAAAACTTCTTCGCGGGGATCGCCCCGTAAGCTGTCTACCTCATCCATCGTCGACTATTGATAAAATTATCCCTTTACGCTCTAAGACACTTTTATTATAGCTTCAGCTAAAATGCTCACTGCACTGAAATGCAAAATTTTTCTTTTTATTCAAATTTTCATGTGTTTTAATTTCACTTAAAACAGCTAATTTTTCACTTTGTTTGATAAACTCCTGTACATTAAAATTTGTTAATGATGAAAACGTTCCAGATAACGGTCTGCAATTTCGAAACGTGGCTTCGCATGATTGTGAACTAAATAAATATATATTTAATGATTCAGATGGTAATTGTTTATTCATCACTTGCATGGTTAAATATGTGCATTTAATTCAATGGAGAAAAACGTTGGTTTTGTGATAAAAAATTTTGTTTTATCACTCTTTTTATTTTTCACTACTGTTTTTGAATTATTTCTAGGAGCGAACGAATGTGCGTTAAATGAATTACACTGGATCCACAAAATAAATACGATCACTAACAGATGTTGTTTTATCGATATATGCTAATATTGTTAAATGAATAATGGTTAAATAAAATCGTGTTGCGGTTGTATTTGAATTTTCAGTTAACATACTTAATACATCTTTCGAAGATATTTTTAAACATGATGAAAAATTTGGTTTATCTTTTGGGAAAATATCGGACTTAACCAGATTATGATCGATTTCGATGAATTATCGATTAAATCTTCTACATGTTTAATATTCACTTGTGAGTTCCAATTAATAAAGTAGCTTTGGTCGACAATATCTATTTCTCAATTTTGTGCATAAATGTATCGGATAGGGGTGCCACATTTTCTTTACTAATGCGTTACTTTACTGAGTAAAGCAACGCTTTCAAATATCACCGTATGAGTGACGAGCAACCGAAAATGTATTGTTTTATCACCTTGCGGACACAATGCGACTAAAGCGTTACTATATTATGCGTTACTGCGTTACTAGAAAAGTAACGCAAATAACGCTGCGTTACTCGTTACAAAAGCTATGAAAAATAAACGCATCTCGTTAGTAGTTACTGGTAACGAGTAACGCATGTGTTACTCGTTACCAGTAACGCAATAACGCATGCGTTACTCGTTATCAGTAACGCAATAACGCATGCGTTACTGGTTATTAGTAACGCAATAACGCATGCGTTACTGCGTTACCTGTAAAGAAACGGTAAAGCGCCACCCCTAGTATCCGATCTTGCATGAAGAGTAATAGTTATTTGCCCTTTAGGAAAAACCACGATGATCATTTGGCTGGAACATCAATTGCAAATAACTTATTATCATTATTGTCAATTACTGGAATATTTGGTGAATCAGCAAAAAAACCACTAACAAGCTTCATAGATTTCAAATCCTTTGCGTCACAGTCAGTGCTGAATCCAATAATACGAATTCATTCCTTTGCACATTCATTATAAATATTTATCTCTTGTAGCTTATCTCTTGTAATTGTAATATATCAACAATAATATCACTCGTTATATTACTTACATAATCGAAAAAAGTCTGGTTCTTACAAAACAAAATATCGGCTGTTGCATGTAAAACGCCACACATTCTAAAATTAATTTGATCTAAAAAGAAACGATAGATTTGTCATATTGGTTTGTTGAAGATGTTATAACTATGGCTTTTGCACCTTGTGTTATGTTATCACACAAGACAACGCTACAAGAGCAATAATTGAAATTTACTAAAACATAAACATTTAAATATTAAATAGTGAAAATAGTCATTGGGTGAGTGATCAAAACACTTCTGGTTTCAATAATTATATAATTTCAAACGTGTTGTGTTATAGGGAAAAATATGTTTGGTACGAGAGATGTGTGTGAAGAGGACGGAAGTTGCAAAGCTTTTTGGGTGCTGTTTGATATCGAACTTTGTTCTTCAGATTTTTCCAACACCTGGTATTATCGATTTTAACATATTCTAAGAGTTTATGGATAATCTCAAGACTGTAGTACTAAGGTGTAATCCAGTGCAAGTAAGGTTCACGAACGGATGTCCGAAAAAATCAGGTATGCACCAGTTCTAAAACTGGTGTTTGGGCATTCGGAAAAACGTTTATTACTTAGTAATTAAGAGTCTCTTGGAGTTGCGAAACATCTGATTTTGTAAAGAACGTAGAGAAATCTTTGCGCTAGAAAATTCACTGGTTCAAAAAGATGTAAGATTAATTATGTCAAAAGTACGTTCTGTCTAAACCAGTGGAAATGTTGGAACTGTTCCTTCAACACTTTCACCAGTTCCTATGTTTCTCAATACTCGTATTTAAAACATAATTATTCTTAAAAGATATTTCGATCAGTAAGTTTTGTAGAGCAAACATTTCTACACAAGACGAGATGTTTCACAACTCTGAGCAAATCTTAATTACCGAGCAATAAACGATTTTCCAGATGCCCAAACACCGATTCTAGAACTAGTGGATATCTAATAAAATAGACATTCCGTTCTTCGGGTCTGTTTAACTGCAACTCTGAACAATGTAGAACAGTACAGTCAAATTAGCATTGGAAGATGTAAAAGAACTTTATCAGCACTTGTACAATATACGCAAGAATTTTTTGCAAATGGTGAATGAAACT